CCACAGCCCCCAGCCCCTGCTCAAGCTGCTCCAAGCAGGGTCTGGAGTGGGGCCCGAGGACAGGCAGCAGGGAGGCGGGCCTGGGGGCCCCTGACCTGGAGGCTGCTCTCTGGCCCACTCTCCTCTGAACTTCCGGGCCGTTCCAGCGGGGCCCTGCCAGCGGCCGCCCCCTCCTCGCCCGTGAAAAGGCGGCTGGGGAGAAGACCGGGAAACTCCCGAGGAAGCGGCTCCAAACCAGAGCTCACACCCTCACACTGAGGTGTGCTGGCGAGAGACGGAGGCCAGGAGACATGGCACCAGGCACGTAGGCTTTCAGGGGCAGCAAGAAGGCTCCAGAAGCTTCCAGAAGCCTCCAGAACCAAAGCCCGAAGGGCCCTGCACCCTCAGCCAGCCACCTCCCCGTGCTGTTCAGACGGTCAGTCGGGCCTGGACCACACTGGGGCTCAGTCCTCCGTGGGAGAAAAACAGTCATCTTTGGGAGACCAGGCCGAAGGGCACCTGGGGCCCTGTTACGAGCAGGAATCTCTCCCCTTCCATCCCGTGGGCCCAAGACGGCTCACAGAGGAGGGGGAAGAGGGGTCCCAGCCACCTGCCCATGGCCCTGGCCACACAGGAAATCACCTGGGAGCTTTCAAACACACCGGCGCCCAGCCCCACCCCCAGCCTGCGCCAGGCAGGGTGCGGAGAGAGGTCCAGGGGAGGAAACCCGTACAAGAGGGAGGTGCTGGTGCCGAGAACGTGAGCCCAGAATCTGAGACCCGAGCTCCAGTCCCGACTCTGCCCCTGGCTCGCTGTGTGATCTCAGCTGAGTCACTTCCCCTCTCTGAGCAGCGGCTACACCTGTCAGTGGGAGGACAGGTCTCCATAGGGTCACCGACAAGGTGCACAGCCAAGGTGCAGTGTCCAGCACGACAGGTGAGGACGAGCCTGGAGGGGGCAGGCGGTGGGGGGTGCTCTGGAGGGTGACCATGTCCCTCCGCCCAGACATGCCCCCAGGGGTGGGGGTCAGAAAAATTCAGAGTCTTGCTCCCAAGCCCTTCGCTCTGCTTAGCTTGACAGACACAGGCAGGGGTGTGAGGACCTGCCACCCTGGGGCAGCCCTGGGGGACGCTGCAGGGTTGGCAACGCCCTCCCAGTGACACGTCCGGTGTCCCTGAACTTCTCCCCTGTTCCCTTGGACTTAACCCTGAGGCCATGCCCTGGGGGGCACAGAAAGGCCGAAGCTCAGGCACCACCCCAGCCAGCTGAGCCCAAACTGCATTTCGCCCTAATCCCCTGGAGCCACGTGGCTGAGCTGAGTTGGTAAGTGGCAAGGATGTCACCAGAATGGGCTCCCTGGAGGGGACACTACTGAGGAGCTACCTTGGGGGCTGCAGGGAGCTGCCAAGCCAGCTCCTGCCCCTCCCCAGCCCACTGCAGGGACAGCTCCCTCATCCTCACAGTGACTCAGGCTGCCACTGTCCAACCTTGGCCCCGGAGACCACTCTGAGGTCACCCTCCTGGCAGCCAAAGTCCCTGGGACGGACCAAGGGACATTTCTCATCCAGCTGCCCACATTCTCTAGACCTGGGCAGTGACCACCGCCCTGTGAGCGGGCCCTGCTGCCCTGAAGGCCTGTGCCCCCGACCCAGGGGGGGGTCTCATGGAGCACCCACAGCGCCCCCTACAGATGGGGCAGGACAGAGAGGGGGGATGGGAAGTGCAAAGTCTAGTTTCCACAAATGAAACCAGTTGCTAACGAGTGCAACCCCCCACCCCCAAACACCCTCACCTTCAGCTGAAACTCAAGTTTAAGCCAATGGGGACAGACAGACCTATGAGCCCAGCTCCAAGAAGCTGGGCCCCAGCTGGCCAGGTCCTGGGAAAGGAGGGCAAAACTTGGAAGCCTGGCCCCTGGTGCCCCCCGGCGAGGCCACTGGAGCCAAGGGCACAGACCTCAGACCTGCCTCTCAGCCCGCCTTGGCCCGCAGCCCGCCAAGGGCGGTCCCAGCACGCCTTTCCAGCTGTCCGGGGCCATGTTGCAAGCCAGGCCCGAGGGCTGTGGAAGGCCTCCAGCTCGGCTCATTATTGGAATTTAATCTGGATTCCGAGAGATCAAGAGGCCTTGGTGGAAAGTGGCTGTCACAAGGGGAGAGACGCTGAGGCCAACCCCAGCCAGCTGATCCCCGGCACCCCAGGGCTTTCCTGGAGCTCAGGCAGAGGCTCACCAGAGAGCCAGCTGTTGCCGATCTGCACAGCTGGGCGGCCGCAGCAGGCAGGCCACACTGCAGGGCGGCGGGGCAGGGTCCAGGCTCCTCCCTGGGAATCCCATCGGCCAGAGGCCCTTCCACTTAAAGGGCTGAGGAAATGCAGGCAAGGGCACCACCTCCACACAAACCCAGGCTTTCGTCCCCCTGAAGGTTTAGCAGAGACGGGGAAAGCCAGGCCACAGCTCTCCAGGTGCCTAAGAAGGTCTCTGCACTGCTGGGATGGTGGCGGTGATGATGATGGTGGTGATGATGGTGATGGTGGTGATGATGGTGGTGACGACGCCAATGGCAATGACCCTAATATTAGTGTAACTTTACCGAGCAGTTATTATGTTATAAGTATGCTGACCTGCTTTGTCCTCACCACAGCCTTGGGGGGAAGATGCAGTCATGACCCCCGCTGTACAGGGGAGGAAGGTGGGGCTCCAAGAGGTCACTGCGCCCCAAGACTGCACTGGTGCAGAGTGTTGGGACTCCAACCCACACTCTTACTAGCTGCGTTGTCCCACCTGGGGAACTACATGGTAGGATGGTCTTACTTCTGGAATAAAAAACAACACAACCCACTAAGAAAGAAACAATAATAGTTGTTTTTTTTTAATGCAACATTTTAACTGCTGGAGAATGAGGGCCCTGCTTCCTTCCTTCATGACAGAAGGAAAGTTAGAAATCTGCAGGGAGCAGCCCCTTCCTCCCCCTGCAGTGCCTCTCACTCCACCCCTGCTTCATACTCTGCACCTGTCATGTCACTCCCTGGCCTTGGACCTGAGCTCCTGGAGGCCGGGGCTGATTTCCACAGTGCACGGTATGCAGCAGGCGCTCAAACATTTGCCGACAAAGGACTTGGCCTCCCAGCAGGCACGGAGAGCTCAGTGGCGGCTGAATAAACAAGACACAGGTCTCCGTGCTTCTCTCTCCAAGGGCAGTGGCCTCTGCCCTCCGTCAGGGCCGTCTCGCCCGCCTCCGGGGCTCTGGCACCCTTCCCAGTGCGTGGAGCAGAGTGAGTGTGCACAGGGGCCGTGGGCCCAGTGGGCTTGGCGCCCACCCCCCCCATCCAGAGCAGTGCTGAGGACGCAGGCAGTCCTGAAGCAGGCCCCCACTCACGGCACAAGGGGCCGGCGCCAGCAGCACCCAGACCGACCCCGGTGCCCCATCGACCAGTGTCCGCTGTCCGGGAAGGGGAACCCGTGGCTGCCCGGAGAGCTTGCAGGAGGAGCGGCACAGGTGACACCAGCCCACCCCTCCGGGTCTGTTCGGCCGGCCCCAGTCCAGGCAGCTACATTCCTGAGGGCGGTTTTGGAGGCAGGTGGGGGAGCCTGCCAGGGGCCCGAGGGTGACCCGGGCTCCCGGTTTGCACAAGTGCTACGGGCAAACAGCTTTGGGCACTGGGTATGCCCCCCATTAATCCGCCCTCATGAGAAAGGTCAAACACAGGTTCTGGTCCAAGAGGCCCTGGAGATTCGTCAGCACACAGAGCAAACATATGGCCCCCTCCCCCCAGCAGAAGGGACTCAAGGTTTCTTCTGTAACTGGGCCTGGGGCCAAGGCACAGCCCACCGGGGGTTAGTGGGGCACCTGAGTACCTTTAGTAAAATTCGGGGAGACTGTCTGCTGCCTCCCCTGCCCCACACCCAGGCTCCAGTACCAGGGGCCCTAAAATGCAAGGTCGATCCAGTGAGGTTCCATCTGTCACCCGTCAGACTGACGGAGATCAGGACGGTTTGAGGTGAGCCCCTGTTGGCGAGCACAGGGCGGAGCAAGCCTTCTCCGCTGCGACTGCTGGGACCAAACCTCGACATCGCCCCCTTTCAGTGTCCCCTCTGCGGGGTCCGCCTTGGAGGGCTGCATGGACGTGAAGTGAGCTAACAAATGCAAGACATTGGAAACATCCGAGACAGCTTTGGTTTTGTCGGTATTTAAGACGACCCCCCAAATGGCGGCAGCTGGCAAACAAGGTGATAATGGTCCCCACCGCCCTGCTGTGGTGACGGGTCCCCCTTCTAACTGAACATGCCAGAGCCCCCCATCAGGAGATGCCCACCCCTCCCTCTTCCAGTAATCACCGGGGAACAGGGTACCAAGGAGAGGGGTGAAAGTCTGAACCCTGGGATACCCAGAAACCCAGCCGATGGCTGGGACGACCTTGGCCTTGTCCACCTTGGAACTGTGGAAGGTACTGGTTTCGTGGTCCGGCCCATGCTCTTAGCCTTCTTACCTCACGGAAGACCAGGAAACCAAAGAGGCTCAAGAAATGAACGTGTCTCGACACCAGCTTTTGGTTCCTGGCCTGGTTGGCAGGAGGCTGAGAGTTCTGTGTTTCTTTTTGGTTTGGGGCTTCCATCCCTCCACACCATTACACACGGCCACTCCGATTGGTTGCCTGACATCACGTGCTGGGGCGCAGGGTGACGAATGGCAGAGAAGCAGACCTTCAAAAACGTTTCTGCTTCTTCCTCACCCGCCCCTTCCAGGGCCCTAAACACGGGCCATTCCCAGGCCACCCAGGAACACCCCCGTGGGGCTACACCACCTTAGGCTCAGCCTGGCCATTCCTGTTCCCAACCGGACTCACGGGTGGGGATGGTTTTGAGTGACGGTGGCATACACCACATGCCGTCTTTAAAAACGCTATTCAGTACAGGGCCTGGCCCACGGCGGGTGCTTCTGGGTGAGCGCAGCCGCAGCTTTCCCGGCCCAACCTCGGCCGCCAAGACCTTCCTCCTGTGCGGGTGGGGGAGGCTCAGCACGCACCTGCCCGAGTGCTCCTGCAGCACCTGGTACACGCTGATCCGAAAGGTCTCGTTGTCGAAGCGTTCCCGGACGTAGTCCTTGTAGATCCGGAACTCGGCCGCGGTCACGGCTTCCCCTTCGGGGATCTTGGACAGATCGAACCGGAACTCCCGGTGGTGGTAGCGCGGGTGGAAGAACTCTTTGTCATGTTCCACTGGAAAGGGGAGAAAACACACACCGGCCCCGGAAGCTCGTTAGTCACTGGGTGTCACTCTCCCGGCTCGGAGCCCAAGCGCGTGGACGAGGCCGCCCTAGGACGCGCCTGCTGCCGGCCACCCCTGGTGCTAACTGCCCATTCCATGCTGACCTGTGGCGGACGGAAGCACCACAGGCTCAGACCCCGTGGTCATCTTGGAAAACAAGGGCAATGACTCTGCACCCACCCTGCCGGGAACAGGGGGGCCCTGGCCACAGCTGTCCCAGAGGCCCTGGACAGACTCGGGTCCCAGGAGGTCAGGCCCTGGTTTGAATCCAGGCCTGGCCACTAACCAGCTGAATGGCCAGGACTAGGAACCAAGTAATCTCCATGTCCCCGTCTGAAAAATGGGGGCAACAACCCTCCTTTTGTTTGCTGTCGTCAGAGGTAAGTGATGTGATTCACATAAGCAGCTTAACCTCGGGGAGGGCTGGCTGACTGTGAGCTGTTAGGAGTGAACATCAGCCTGGCCCCGCCTCTCGGCTCCTGCCTGTGAAAATCTCCCCAGCAGCCCCGGAAAAGCTCTGGTGCCCTGGGCCCGGGGGACTGGCAAGCACTTCCTGACTGGCCCTCCGGGCCTCTGTCTGCAGTGTTTGCTGATTTCCACCGGGGCAGATCTCAACGTCCCTAAGCAGGCGTGGGCGGATGGGCACCCAGGGCGCTGGCAGCCCGTGGTCCTCACCCCACTCTGCACCAGCTGCATCGGCATCACTGGGGAGGGGCCTCAGACACCTGTATTTTCTAAAGCACCCAAATGTTTCTCATAGCAGCCAGGGTTTACAACCACCATCTTGGACTAAAAGCAGAAGAGGTAGGAGAGTCTCAGGGCGGCGAAGAGCTTCGGAAGGTGACTTCAAGACGAACTAAAGCGCAGGACCTGGGCAAGTCTCCCTGATGTGGGCAGTGAGCCTAGACTGAGATGCCGTGACCGGTTCTCAGATGGTAATCACTGAGACGAGCACTCGCCCAAGAGCAGGTTTCTGGGAGTGGGCCTGGGGTTCCGGAGGATCCTGCATCCTCTGGACCAAAACAGCGCAGGGATGGAGCTGGGACTCATTAAGTGTGGGAAAGATGTGGCATCTGCAGCTCCGTCCACCTCCTGGGAGACACAGCCCCATCTGCACTTTCTGCCTGGGGTGGGGAACTAGCTTGGCCAGAGGAGAGGAGCAGCAGGACCTGCGGGCACCTAACCCAGCGCTCAGGCTGAGCTGGGGCTGCCACAGTGCAGGCAGGACGAGAATGCTTTAGAGGGAGGAGGGACCTGGCACCAGGGGTCCCGGGGGGCCCTTCCCACAGGTCTCCACAGGGAAGATATTGGGGTGAGGGCAGGGGGCGCTGGAGAATGATCCGCTCATCAGGCTGTTCCCTCCTAGGCAGAGGGGGCAGGGGGCATCCTCAGGGCCGGGGCACCTGGCTGGGCACAGGCGTGCCCCTGCCTCTGGACCAGCTTCTGGAACCCTGGGCCCCATGGCAGAGCTGGCTGGAGGAAAGGACCTTCAGAAGCCAGACCGCAGCTGTGCTCACACACTCACACTCACACCCATACACACCCCTTTATACCCACAAGGAACACTTCCCTTCTGACCCCGTCTAAGAAAAAGGCCAGGCTGAACCCGATGGCAGAAAAGGGCCATGGGGACCCTGATTTATGAAGGCGGACAAGGAGGGAGGGGCCCCTGTAACAGCTTCCAGGGAGTGAACACAATGGAGAGATCAGGTGAGCCTCAGGAGGGGACCCCGGGGTGGGGGGGAGCAGCCTGGACTCTGTCACTGCAGAACATCCCGAGCCAGTCCTCTGTCCACCCGAGAGCTCATTCAACCTGCACATTGGGAGGGGACGCACCTGAGACCCAGGAGGAGTGGCGTGGCCTGTCCAGAGTCAGAGAGCTGGGACTCCCACCCCGGTGCCGCCCCGACTAGGGGAGGCCTCAGGGCGCTGACGGATGGGCCGCTGAGTCCCGTTGCTGCTGTCAGTTTTTGCACAGTGTTCCAGCACATGCACCACATGCACGCAATCCAGATGTGTACCATGCAGTGGATCTTCGCAAAGTGACCCTCCCCCATGAAGAAGCAGAATGTGGCCGTGCTCTCCCCCCCCACCTCCCCGTGAGTGCCCCCAGCCCCAGCTCAGTGGTACTCGCTGTTGAGCGCTCTAAACAGGGGTGAGTGCGGGACCTTCTCCTGTGCCCCTCCGCAGGGTTAGTGGGACCCACCCACTCATGCTCACCACTGTGGATGAGGCCGGTGTGGTTGTACCACGGCTGTGTCCCTTCCCCTGCTGGTAGGCGTCTCTCTGGGTGGTCTGCAGTCTGGGGCTGTTACGGCGGGGCTGCCATGAGCATCCGAGCCCCTGTATTTCAGCGAGACTCCTGGACACGCATCCCGAGAAGCTGGCCTGTGTGGGCTCAGCCCTGGTCATACTGCCAGGCTGCTCTCACGGACAGTGTGCCAGAGAGACTCCTAGGGGCGTGCCAGGAGGAGATGACAAGTCTGTCTGGGGCGGGACGGGCATCCTCTGGGCAGGATGTGTGCTCCCACCCACCTGCTTTTCTGCAGACAGGCCAGGAGGGGGGCGGCAAGGCAACAAACAACTCTTGGAGAGTATCCTGGACCCCCAGTGAGCGGCCAAGTGCACCCAGGCAGCCCCCACCCCTTCGCTGTGACCTCTCAGGTGCCCCCACCCACCCCTCCCCTCTGGCTACTCCTTGAAACGTGCCCAAGATACTCCCCTAGGAAGATAACACGGAGCTGCGGGACACCAGGAGACTGTTCCCCAGGCCAGTCTCTGGCTCCACACCGACAGAGCACACAGACAGTCTCTGCTTCCAGTCCTCTTCCCTCCCCTCGCCCAGCAGAGCCCACCCCTTGAAGTCCAGAAAGGTCCTCGATGCTCCCCCACTCGGCAGAGGGGAGCCCCAGCTTGATGCCGAAACACAGCAGGGCTCCAACACGCTTCAGAGTCCCCGCTCCCAGGGCCAGGGTCGACCCCACCTGGAGAGGCAAACTCAGCAACCCACCAAGCAGGAAATGGGGGCTATGACCCTGGTCAGTTTATAGGGAAGATGGATGAAGAGCCCAGAAGAGCAAAAAAAAGAACGCCTGTTTATGAATGCTTGCTCTGCGGTGGGTCGCAAGGTGAGGACTCTGCGCCAATCTGATGGACCCCAGTGAGGCAGGACCGATCTCCACTTTACAGATGGGGAAACTGAGGCTCAGGCAGTCAGGTGACTTGGCCAAGGTAACAGTTAGGTGAGTGGCAGAACTCCAAAACCCCCACACCCTTGACTTCTACACTATCTGGAGCCAGGTGGCTTGAGTTCCAGTCTCAGCTGGGCCACCTACCAGCTGCGTGGCCTTGGCTAGCTTCACCTCTGTGTGCGTCCCCTTCCTCCAGGACACTAACAATGGCCCTCTCTCAGGGAGTCGTTGAGAGGCCCATAGGAGCCATCACTTGCAACAGTGCCGGGCCAGTGGAAAGCAATCCCTGTTGGCCATGGTTACAGGGTCTCTAGAACAATGAGCCAGGAGAATGGCCACCAGCGCAGAAGCAGCAGTTGGTGTGCGGTGTTTGCATAGTTCCAAGATAACTGCACCTGGGGGAGAAGTGCCATGGAGCCAACGACACGGAAACATTTGGATGAGCTTGACCTCAACCCAGGCACCCTCGCTACAGCCGCGCACCTGATGGAGAACGACACATCATCACAGATACAAAGTTTATTGTAGCAGGTGCATGTAACCGTTTTAATATAGAAGATTAAATGTATCTTAACTGTGAAGACACTTTAGATATCAGACAATTAAGAGAGCAGGGTTATAAAGTGTCTCTTTTAAAAAGGGTAAATGAACAAAGTGTCCAGCTGAGCTTCTGGCAGGCTCTCCAGGAATGGCTTGCCGAGGAGTTTCCTTTAATTATTTTAAGACACGAGGCCTGAACCACGTGCTAGTCTGTTCTCCCTGAAACCCTATCACCACACATTCTGAAAATAATTCCGTGATTTATCAAAGAAAGAATGGTCATTTTTAAAACAGAGCAGTGCCTAATTCGAAGTCCCGTCCCAATTCCAAGTCTCATCCTCCCGAGGTTTCCACTTCAGGCAGGAGCCGCTCCCCAGCAAGGAATCCACACCATTCCCTCGGGGGCCAGGACTGTGTAATGGGCACCACCGAAGTAGAGATGGAGGCAGGCATGCACTCTCTTAGGGAGGAAATGCATCTTTACACCATCCTCCTAAATGACCACGGTGGATCACCCAAGGCTCGGACTTCAAAACAAATGTCTAGCGTTGCTATCTCCCTGGGTCCAGAGAGGAAACTTTATGTAAATATAATCGGGCTTTCTAAGAAAAGCCAGAGCCCAGAAAATCCAGCTCTTTCGCTCTTTCTCTGCTGCCCTTTGCATTCCACACCCCACTGGACACAAGAGCTCACAGGCATCACTGAAGACTTTCATCCCCAAAAGATTAAAACGGCCCAAATCCCTGAGACCAAACGGTAAGTCCAAAGAAAGTGGATTCCAGAAGCCACCCTCCAGGCAGCAGCCGGCCCCTTCACTGTCCCCAAAGCCGATCCTGGACTCTTTCTGGATAATAACCCGAAGGCGGGCCCGGGGAGGGGAAATTCTGGGCCGAAGGGTGTGGATAAAGGGTGGGGGTGAGGGGACAGGAAGTCACTCGCTGGGAGTTGGTTCTCACCACCCTCTAACATTCAGGGGTGACCTCTGCTCCACATGCAGCCCAGCCTGCTCCCCAGTTCTCACACTCTGGGAGTTGTGCGGACACCCTTCGAAAAGTCCCCTTTAAGCCAGAGTCAGGTCGCTAGCTCTGGCACTAAGGCTGCCCTGAGCACAGCAATCAAGGCCGGTCATACAGACACCTGGCAGTGCGCGGGCAGGACACACGCCCAGGTGACAGCGGTCATCTCCGGGTGAGCGTGTGCCGTGAAACTGCTGCATGGAG